TCTGATACTGTTATAGATGATGTTGTGTTCTGATACTGTTATAGATGGTGTTGTGTTCTGATACTGTTCTAGATGACGTTGTGTTGGTGTTGTGGTCAGTCTGATGGATGTTCAGGGTGTGTAGTACATGCATCTTTACCAGTCAATCCCGTTTTCATAGTTGGGTCCACTGAAGAACTGGATCTCCTCAAACGTGGTGGGACTGGGGAAGGAGCTGGTGATTGCTGGGTGGAGGCTCAGGAATGAATGAAGTGCTGTTGTGCCTTGTAGAGAAGACATTAGTAATAATTAAAAAAGGTAGATGAGGACAGAGAGGGAGCAGATGGAAGACGTACCTGTTTTCTGTGGTCCAATAATGAGGAACTTAGGCAGTCTGTCACAGGTCTTTTCTTTAGACCAGATATCTTTGTGTCTTTTGTCATGACAAGGGTTCTGAAAAATAAGCTTCTGTTTTAGTGACAAGTACAGAAAAAAACACATTCAAAGCAGAGCGACTTTACCTTTCATGACAACTTATCTGTCTCTAGGAAACACACCCACCTGCCAGAGTGGGTTTCTCTCCTCTGGGAAGATCTGAAAGTATTTCTGCGCCAGTTGGACTGGAGGTAAAGTCTGCAGCCTCAGGTTGGTCCAGCACTGGACAAACTTCACCAGAGACTCAAAGGTGTACAGGCCCAGGCGGTCGTTGCCGTAGTTAGACAGGTGAGTCATGAAGATGCTTATCTGGATTGAGAGGGTAATAATAATAATACATTTTATTTGAAGGGGCCTTTCTCAGCAATCAAGGACACACAGATAGATAAATGCATTAAAAGAAACAACCAGTAAAATCTATAAAATCAATCAACTAAACGGGGTACAGTGGAAGGTACAGTGTTTAAAGTTGTTGGTCTGGATTCAGTTTCTCTAATGATGATCAACAGCCAGAGAGCAGAGTGGCTTTCAGATGAGTCTCGTGTTTTTCTTCTGCCAACTTTAATCATTCCAGGAGCTTTAAAGCCTAAAGTATGTTCCTGAGGGTTTGCTTCAAATAGAAACGAGACATTTTCCTCTCTGGCAAAAGATCAAGAAGTCTCGTGCTGCCTTACATTCATTCAGAATGAGTGGAAACATCAAAGTGTGCTGTATGTTGAAGAGTTACAGAATTAGTCATAGGTTTTACGGGAAGAGATATCACATACACTGTACTTAATCTGTATTTTTTGTATTTTTATTTATTTATTTGTATTTTTTTGCTTAATTTAATTCCAACTTGATACCTTTGGCCCTTTAAGCTGCTGGTAACCTTAATTTCCTGAGGGAGTCTTCCCAAGGGATCAATAAAGTACTGTCTAAGTCTAAGTCATGTGTGTATGAAGGCAAACTTTCTTACAGGGTTTAGGAGAACGGTGAGGAAAAGCTCCCCCCCTCTGATGCTCTTATCCAGCTCCTTTGAGCCTCCTGGGTACTCATTATAGAAGATTGTGTGAGTGAACAGACCACAAGTCTGACGAGGCAACACCTGGAACACAGAG